AGAGTCACGAGTGAAAAAAAATAAAGTTTGAGGATAATTAGGGAAAGCCGTGTCCCGCGTCTGTCATCTGAGGATGTCAATACAATTTGATCTTATCCGTAAGGGTTGTACCTGCTTGTACACACTGTCAACGAACAATTTGTCAGTATTGAAACTTCTAGAGAATCATAATCGTTTTGGCTGAATTAGTCATTTATTTTTCAACAGTAACACTAAAGATTGTTGCGAACAGCCTTTAAACAAAGCGTAATCTTGCAAAGCTGTAAATACGTTTGCTAAACATTACGGTCGCACTACAAGAAGGTAGATATGGTGTTCTACCACATTCTCAGTGTCTAGAGATTGCACTGAATATTTTCTAAGCTGACTTTCTACAGATAGTTTAATCTCGTTAACCGAATTTCTTTGCCAAGTATAAAACAAGGACATCCTGCATATACTTTACTTTTGTAGATTTATCATAAACTAATCCTTTAAAGAATCTGAAAATTTAAGTACTCCTTTGTAAATTCTATCATATCACACAATTCATGTGTATCAGTGAAATGCGTTGGAGTGCCAATGAACACCATAATTCGTTTGCTAATGCAATTTAGCCAGATAGGTAGTCTATCAATACCAATCTTACACGAGTTCAGTAGTCAGAATCAACAGCATTTGCTTTGACGCAGGCACAAAGTCTCTCGCGGGGTCAGACGTTAGGGACCCAAAAACTTTTCTAGAATTCTATACTTCAGTAAAATCAAAATTAAATCGATATATTGTTTGTTAATGATTTTAGAGTAAAACCTTAAACAGCATTCTTTTGCGCGTTTTTTCCTCTGAACTGATTTTGAATTTCACAAGCAACAGTTTTTCAAACAAACAGTTTTGGTATCGCTTTCACCAATATGAAGAAATGTTTTCTGTAAAAGAGCTACCTCTATAGAGCATGCTTTAGCAGACTGCATATTCTTTGCAAATTATTCGCGTGACTTTTTTAATTGAAAAAGGCACGTGAAGGTAAGCTATTTGTTCTGCGGAGTTTCAGCTATCTTTATGAAACACAGGATGCAATGCTTGGAAATCGCTTGAGTGTATTATGGAGGTGGGGCATAATTATAGCTTGTTAACAAGGTAAATTAGGTTTCATCATAGTTGACCATTAGTGTTTAACGCGAAAGCCTTGAATGCATTACTATTTGGCCATTTTGAGGCGAATATGGAGTGTTGCC